TTAGCTGCCAACGTTGACTGCACGAAGACTGTTCAAAATATGAATCCATGTGTGATGTATGTGATAAAAAGTAGAAGAAGTGAGTTTACAATTTCACCCCAAGTGCCTTTGCCATCTTTCCCTTATGCAGGGACGAAATGGTAAATTTAATAAAAATAAATATTGTTTTTTTATCATTTATAATGTCTTAAAGAAACTATGACACTGTTAAGTTGTTGGCAATATGTTTTGTGAAAGATCTATATTATATTTGGTTTAAATAAACAATTGCTTGTCTTCTGACACCATATCACCCTAATTTATCCTACATTGTAAAAACTTTTATCGCATTTATATTGTTTTTAAAATTAGTTTTATTTTTTGTCCTAAAAATCAAAGTCAAATATGAGGAGGCGAATGACATCTTGTCCACAGCTTAAAATATCTGTTATAATTACTATTTAATAATTAAGACAATTTTTCATCACCTCCAGTATTGTGATAAATTAAATCGCAATGAACAGCTAACATTAAATTAAATGCATTTGACAGCAAAAGTTCTTTATTAAATCTTTAGAAAATATTGTAATTTTATGAAATAACAATCAATCTTAGCTTCTGAGCCTATGCTGCAAATAAACCGAATTACGATCCAACCCAGCCAGTTATGAATATATAAGTGGAAAAGTTTTCAACAAACGTCTAAAAAATGAACGTTCCGAGAACGGGATCAGGACCTTCTCACGTAAATCTGCTGGGCAATTTTTCTCCAACAATCTGAACAAAAGTCAAATAAATTTTGCATAAGGTCTAACCGTCAACTAAGCCATAGCGTAGAGGGAAATAAGCTCACCAATCACTGTTAAATAGTTCAGTGAAAGTTTTTGCCTCAGAAGGGTTTGAAAAAACTTTATTCGAATGCAGGTTCATATTTTTTAATTTATAGGAATGATGAATGGAGCTGAAAATTGGTGTAATTTAAATAATAAATAAAGAGCTGTATAAATTCGATGGAAATTTAATTTATAAAAACTACAAGTAGGTAGATTGAGGTTAACTAAATAGGCTGGTTAATTGAACTGGGATGACATGGCTCTAATTCTCTTTGTTACAGAGAATCAAAGCCATGCACTTGTAGTTGAAAGCAGAATTTAATACCCATTAATTGTGGCTAATTAAGATTTCTATAGAACCTACAGAGAATTGTTGGTGAAATCAATAAGGTTTTTACTGGATGCAAGTAAATTTTTCGCTCTGTGGAAATTATTATTTTTAAGCAGATTAAAATATAATTAGGCCAGTTGTATTTAATATAGTTTTTGAGGTAAATATGAGTAATTTATTCCAGTCTAAGTTACTGTATCTGACGTTGTTTTTAGAATTAATATTATTTATCATTTTTATTACCTAGTGAGGTTAATTGAACAACCACCGTGTGAGGTTAGATACATATATAATATGTAATAATATAATATATAATATGTATTATAATATATAAAAGCAATACCTGCATAAACAATGTTTTAATTTGTCGATTGGTTTATGGGTCACCTGCAACACTGCATTTAATTGTAAATCGGTTATGTGCATGTCCAAATTTAAATGTATTGGTTATAGGTCAACAATAAACAAATTAGCCTAGCAAAAATACGTTTATACGTGCCTTTTCTTAATATTTACTGGGTTCTATTTATTGTTTTAAAGAAGTCCCACAAAATAGTCGTTTAGTAGGAAACGTGGCTATTTAGTTTGGTCTTTCGTATGTCTTCTTTCCTTCATCGGTAAGCTGTATTAAAGGATGCTACAAGTACGCATAGACGACATGATTTAGAGGTCAGGTAGTTTATCTCGGAGGCAATTTTTTTTTTGTAAAGGGAAAAGCACGATTATTCCAATCGTGAGGGTACTCGAAGCATTATGCGACAGAGGGAATAAACGTCGCTGGGCGGCCCTGCTGTTGTTCGATATTAGGAATGCATTTGAGACGCTGCAGTGGAACGAGGTAATGAGGGCAATGGACGAAAGAGAATGTCCTGGTTACCTGATGAATGTGGTGGTGGAGTATCTGTCCTAGAGAAGGATTACGGTGAAAAAGGGTACGATCGTGGACGTGACGGCCTGGGTTCCCCAGGGATTTGTCTTGGGCCCGACACAATGGAACCTGGTATATGACGGAGTTATGAACTGTGAATACGAAGAGAGTACAACCCAAACCTTACTATGGCCGACAGAAGACAGGAAAGGGAGAGGTCAATTAAAAGATGGCAAGAAGAATGGAACAACACAAAGGATGTGGCACAGTGGAAGCAAATGCTAATCTTGAACATAAGAGATTGGGTGAACTGTGGCGATGCAGGTGCTTACAGGACACGGATGTTTTAGGGATACCTCTCTAGGTCTTCCGAGAATTACACTAAATCCTCATGTATACAACGGCCGCGATTATGATTTGGGTATGGTTAATATCCGCCAAAGTAATGAGCACATCATAGTATTTTCTAAAGTCGAAGAACTGATTCTTAAAAAAATATTTACAAGCAACATTCGTTATGAATTGTCAAATAAACAAAATTTAAATATAGTCAAATAAGGTTATTGGTTGGCATATTAATTTGCTAACAACAAAACTACAAAGGAGAGTTGTATTCGGGATGGAATGAAAGAAAGGGTAATACCATGCTTTACGGAGCTCCTACTGAAAGTAAAAGTGTCACAACACTATCTAGGTGGGTAAGAAGTGAACTCTTTTTGTCTGTTTTGCACCATTTTACCTAACATAAAAGACCGTCAAGAGAATACCCGAAACTAATTATTATCGATAATCATGATAATCACTTAAGCGTACCTACAATAGTTTTTTCGAAGAAAAATGGAATATTCTTACTAACGTTATCTCCTCACTGCAGTCACAAGTTGCAGCCGCTAGTGGTGGCCGCGTTTGCTTAATTTAAAAAAAATTCAATTGTACCGCTTGTATGAGGTAAAAAATATCATTATTTATGACGTTGCCAATCTAGCAGGAGAAGCTTTTCTTCTTTTTTATCAAAAAATATATGCAGTGGGTTTCGAGCTACTGGCGTAGTACTGGTAAATGACCAAATATTTTCTGATGATGACTATTTGAACAAAAGAGAACGGACAACAGACTACGGTGGTCAAATAGCTACATCACAAAAAAAAAACTCCTAAACATTACAGATTTAAATATCTGGAATTATTAAAAAAATGTTTGTCTGAATTAAATTAAAAAACATCAAGCGGATGCGGAAACGAAATCTCAACAATCACAGTTGAGATAAACATTAAAAAAGCCACTCTGTCAAGCCCATGGACGTATAAACACATATGGACTCAGTTATTTACATAAAATTGTGTAGCCAAAATTATTTGAATAGGTCACATTCTCAGCACCTTCAACTGTTGTCACGTTTTGTTTTAAAATTGCTTATTCGCGGGTCGCTGAAAATATTACTCCGTATTTTATACTCTACAGGGGCTATCAAACCAAAATAATAATTTATTGGTTAGATTCATATATTTAATTGTAATCAAAATATCAAGTGTGCACATAGTGTGCATTATCACTTAATAATAGCGTATAATAGATATCAATCAATTATTTTATATGTAGAAGCACTGAAAACTATTTATAAATGGCAACGGTTGTTTACATTTCTCTATCTTATGGATCTACGTCAAACTTCAAATGCTGTTCCATGTTTGTTTACTTTTTACATTACTTTACTTTACTTTACTCCGTGGCGTTACAACCCTTCGTGGGTTTTAGCCGACTCGACAACATGCCTCCACTGTTTTCTGTCTTGAGCAACCTCCATCCAATTCTCCACGCCCATAGTGCTTAGGTCTCCTGCTATATTATCTCGCCACCGGAGACGAGGGCGTCCGCGTGGTCTCCTTCCAGTTGGGACTTCCTGCCACACCAGTCTTACTGTTCGTTCGTCAGAATGTCTTCTGAGGTGTCCTGCCCATTGGAGTCTTCTGGACTTTATTTCTTTTATGATGTTGGCGTCTGGGTAAAGTTCTTCAAGCTCTTTATTAGTTCTTATCCTATATTGTCCTGATGTTTCATCAAGCACCGGACCAAAGATCTTCCTTAGGATTTTTCTTTCCCAAACACGTAGTCTCTCTTCATTTGCCTTTGTCATCGTCCACGTTTCGCTTCCATACATCACAACGGGTCGTATGATTGTTTTATAGACCTGTATCTTCGTACGTCGTGTTAGTTGTTTTGATTTTATAAGGTTTTGGAGGGCAAAAATACATCTGTTGCCGGC